CGTTGTCAGCCCACCTACACATCTAAATCATCTTGAATGTATCCGTTTGAAATTATCTCCCTTTTAGTCCTGCTACCCATCCATCCCAACTACATTCATTCATGGATGACTTGTAAATATCAATCTAATCCCCGTGATTTTGGTTTTCTTTAATATCCACTATTTTTTAAGGGCAAAAAATTCGTACCATGCTACGTAACATTCTTCGCTGTGTACGCTGGAACCTGCAATTTTTTGGTTTAACGACCGAATTCAGTTGTCCATATCTTTTGTCAATAAAGTGAAGTAATTTTACAAAAGGAAAATGACCACAGTCAACAGTTTGCATTTATGTCCATTAATACCATTCGTGGAAGGTTGTTGCCCCAGTAAACTTCATTTTTTCCCCCAGTACATAAAAAGTCATGGGCCCATTTCGAGATCCAGATGATTCATGGTAAAAATAACCCCAAAATCACCCAGTCTCTCTTCTTTTTGTAATTTTTTTTATACTAAAAAGTATTCATCTGTCGACGTAATGTTTCACCTACTATTTCCACAGTTAACATATCAAAAAAAAAAAAAAAAATTTATCCGTTTTGACTTCAGAGTCATGGCTTGGATTTGGGGCCTTGGCTCCATACCCCTGACAAGTCCGAACCCGAGTCTGAGTCTTTAATAAGCCGAACATACCAAGAAATGAAAGGACATTTTAACCACCTTAGGAAAATATATGTATTTGTGGCGGTTGAAAGGGTGATTTGGAGATACATGGTATATCCTCAACCCTTTTATCTCAGAAAATAGGAGATATTATGCCAAATATTCCCAACTCAATAGACGGTCCAGATGCTCATGATGGGATCATATATGTCCTTTCAATCTAAGTCATATCAGTTGGTGAAAGGAAAGGCGGTATAGACCAGGGATGGGAATGTTTACTTTTGTTTGACTCAAAGCTACAACTACAGTTGCATATGAATGCTTAATCTACTAAAGGAAAACTATAATATGGTAAAGGGTATCGGTAGTTGTGGTGTGGTAGCAGTCGCACATCGTGCTTTTCAATTCGACTTACAGTTTAAAAAACCTAACTATTTAAAAGAAAATGATACGGTTTGTATTACCCACTCAGTTTCGTCCCCCCTCTCCCAACAAAAAAAAACAGAAGACAAATATGGAAAAGTATTTTATGAAGCAGTTGACTAGGTTCTTGAAATAGGGACTTGAAATACATTCCAAATCACTGTAAATCCATTATTGTCGAGGTTCTTTCAATTTGGATCTTTAAAAATAGTGAAGAATTTAGGTGTGGCTCCAATAGGCCATAAGATAAAAGAAAAAAAAAGCTTGGAATAAGCCTAAAAAGATATAATTGGAAATAGTGAGAAAATATATGAGGACTTAAAGATATAAGGATTTATGACGTTATTGAAGGTATAATCTTTGATAGAGCAGAATAACAGGATGTGATTCATATAGCAGATCCTAAATAGTTAAAAAAAGACACTAATGATAATAATGAAAAATAATAGAGACCTAATGATCTATGACGAATTCAAATAGGGATAGGATCAGGACTAGGTGGTGAAAGTGTCAAGGTAGTACAACCTGAAACATTGAGTTCTACTCCTACAATGAGTAGAGGATCTTTTTTTTTTTTACTAACATACCCCCAAAAGAAAAGAAAAATACGAAGAATTAACGACCCAAAAAAAGAGAAAAACATAAAATCTTTTTGATCTAGATTCATGGGCATGGTGGAGATAGTGGACTTGCAAAAGTCTCGATCCCAAATCCACCTTCAAGATGGACCTTGGGTGGGGTGAATCCCTACCCAAAATTATGGGAGACGTTTTGATATTAAAAATCAAAGAAAAATTGTTAACTGATCCTGTTGCTTGCAACAAGCGTCAAAGGAAAACTAATCATTCAAAGAAATTGATTATATAAAATCGGGAATGTTAACAAAGAGACCATTTATTTTATATACATAAAAGTTACAATCATTTGCACTTATTATATGTCAAATTGGATAGCTTGAGCTGAGTCACGAAGTTCGAATTTTTTTTTTAACAAAAATTTTGTGTCTATTCAATAACACTCTTACAACCACTTATTCTGAAATATAAGGGACAAGAATGATTGTGACCTCCATGTACAAAAAATAAATGGTGTCTTTGTAGACAATCCTTATAAAATTTTGATTCTTTTGAATTATTAGTTATTTTTGTATGGAATGCGTTACTTGAAATAATTTTTCACTATTCAAGATTTTCGAAAAATATTGTCCATGTATCTCAAGGTCAAGATGGTCGGATTTGAGGGTTTTTCGATATTGAAACAATTTCTCTTGAATATTTGAAGTTTGCCTTAGTTTAATTGTTTAGGGCCTCCATCTTAAACTTTTTCCTAGATTTACATTGGAAAAAGTTTATATACAAGTAAGGCCCTAAACCATCAAATTAACGTACACGTAAAAGGTTCACTAGAAGAGGATGTTTGGATGCGAAAAAAATCCTCAAATTGATCATCTCGACCTCAAGCTGTATGGACATGATAAAAAACATATTTCAAATCTTGGAAGCAATGGTTTAAAAAATGGATCGGTGACCCGGATCGGGCTTCCAAAAAACCGATCCGGATCGGCGAATCGGCGATCTTGATTGGAAATCGGGTGAATCGGTCATAATAAAGCTTAAAAAAAATCCGAAAAAATTATTAAAATTCATTATAAATATTGTTTTTTAGGAATTCAATAAGAAATGAGGGTACTCCATTAAGAATTTTCATGTTTTTGAATGAATATGCGAATATTGATATGTTCTTTCCCTGCATGAACCGCCATTCAGCATTTAATTTACATCACACAAAATGATAAACATATAATTATCATGGAATAAGTATATCAACATACATGGACTACAATAAAACATAAAATTAGTAACATATGATCTAAAACTAAAATGATAGACGACGTTATTGTTCTTCTTGGTCATGCTGGTGCTATTGATTGAATTCGTTTAACAATTTATTGATTTGATCTAAAAACGAATCATCGATATCAGTAGGCATCTGACTATTCCCAAATCCTTGAGTGTTAGTGTTTTGTTGTGTTCCCAATCTAAAATCCTCGAAGTTTGTCCATCCTTCATGCTCACCTGCACTGTCGTGCTCATCCCTACACTGTTGCTGTTGGGACTCGATATGTGAATAATATGGTTGGGATAGGGTGGCCTTAGAATCATCATCTCTCTCATTTTTTTCTTTGAATAATATGGATTAAAAAAAAAAATTAACAAATTTAAAAAAAAATAGATCATGGATTAAAAAAAAAAATCACAAATTTTCAAAAAATTCTATCATGGATTACAAAAAAAAATTCTATCATGGATTACAAAAAAAAATTCGATCATGGATTAAAAAAAAAATCACAAATTTTCAAAAAATTCAATCATGGATTACAAAAAATTCGATCATGAATTACAAAAAATTCGATCATGGATTACAAAAATTCGATCATGGATTACATAAAATTCGATCATGGATTACATAACATTCGATCATGGATTACAAAAAAA